AGGGGACAGAGAGAGGTTTTTTCCCACATAGCACATTGTAGTCTCACCACTATGCGGAAAAATCATCCTGTTTGTGATTTTTATACTGAATCTGCAACTACTGATATTATTTTTCAATAGCCACTTGTATCTACCATCAACCATGAGAGGTGTGAAGAGGTATGCTGTATCTCTGCAATAAAACTTTTGCCAGGTTCTACCTCCTTGAGCAAAGGATATTTTCTACGTAGGCGTAGATCTTCCTCCTTTACTAGTCCGACATGGTGCATCTTGAGACGACATCTGGTGGAATCCAAAGACCAGAGGTGGATGTGAACTCTGGGTTGTTTTTGTTCTCTTCTTTCTCTTCAGTCTCCCTTTTTGTGTTGCTGCTCTGTTCAGGAGCGTCAGTGTGGAGGGTACGCACTGTTCTCAGTGATGCTGCACTGCTGCCTCGGATTGTCCTGGGAACACAGTACCAAGCGTCCAGAATCGACTGTCCCCACCATTTTGATATATGTGTAACTAAACATCTGTCTCATGCAATAAAGTGTGTCGGCTGCATCTAGCAACAAGGTTTACTCTTGCAAGTAAAAAGATCAACCATGAAGCAACAAATTCTGTATTTAGGTTTTTGTTTTTCTTTCTTCTTTTTTCTTTTTTTTGTAAAATTCTTAAATAAATAAATGAATATGCTTCTCTCTCAGCTTCTTCGCTTTTGTTGCCCTGTGTCAATGCCATCTTAGTCACCTAGAGAGCTGTTTTCTCTATGGGAGATTTTGGCTTTTTTGTGGGCATTGTGTTTAAATGAGGCAGGAGGATCATGAGTTCAAGGCCAGCCTCAGCCTCTTGATGAGACCCTATCTTAAAAGAGAGGGGTGAGGGCTGGGATTGTAGCTCAGTGGTAGAGTGCTTGCCTACCATGCGTGAGACACTGTTCAATCCCTGGCACCATAAAAAAATAAAGAGAGGGGAGTGAAAATAAGGGTGCCTGGGGATGTGGCTCAATGGTTAAGCACCCCTGGGCTCAATCCTCATACTACCAAAAAAAAAAGTTTTCTGGAGGGTATGGAATTAGGAGAGGAACTGAAATCAGGAATGCAGCAAGGGCCTGGGGACCCTTTAAGGAGGCCATTGACCCCTGAGCCAACACCAAGAAGCTGAATGTCTCTGGGCTGCAGGTGGGTAGGCTGGAAGGGAAAGGCCCGGCACAGATGCACAGGGACTGACCCACAGGGCTAGCCTACTCCCACCCTAGAAGGGAAGTCAGGAAATTGGAAATGGAGGGAAAGCACCACCAGAGAGGGAAGCAGGCTTAAGAGAAGATCTCACTGAGTTGCCATTGCTGAGGATGGCTTTGAACTTTGATCCTCTTGTCTCAGCCTCCTGAGCTGCTGGTATTACAAACAGGAGCCACCACACATGGCCCCCAGGATGAATTCTTAACAATGTTTAGAATGTGGCTAGTTCAGGTTTCTCTGTGGTGTTCTAATGCTTGAGAGAGTTGTATTCAATTTGTAGTTTGAAGTATGTAAGTGAATTTAAACAAATTTATGAATGGTGTTAATATTTAGGGGAATTAAATCTATCAAATATATGGGAGAGCATAATTGAAAAACAGTCAAAGGGAATGTTTTAAATTTCAAATAAAATTTGACAAATACTTGTTGAGCTTGAAGACTAAAAGGAAATTTATGTTTTAAAATTTATGTATAAATTTTTTTTCTCTGGGGATTGAACCCAGGGGTGCTTTACCACTGAGCTCCAGCCCCTCCCCCCTTTTAAGGTTTTATTTTTAATTTTTTAAAAATTGTTGATAGTTGGGGCTTGCGATATAGCTCATTTGGTAGAGTGCTTGCCTAGCATGCACAAGGCCCTGGGTACCAAAAAGAAAAAGAAAAAAAGAACAATAATAAAAGGTGTCTACTTTTAAGAATTTGTTGATAGACCTTTATTTTTTATTTATTTATATGTGGTGCTGAGAATCAAACCCAGTGCCTCATACATGCCAGGTGAGTGTACTGGCAATGAGCCACAACCCCAGCCATATTGTTCATTTTGAGACAGGATTTCATTAAGTTGTGTAGGGCCTCATTAAGTTGCTGAGGCTGGCCTCGAACCTGCAATCCTCCTTCCTCAGTAAGTTTGATAAATTGAGTATTGGCCAGATAAGCTGGCACATGCCTATAATCGCAGCGACTTGGGAGGCAGAAGCAGGAGGATGATAAGTTTAAGACCAGTCTGGGCAACTTAGACCCTGTCTAAAAATAAAGGGTGGGAATATAACTCGGTGGTAAAACACTCCTGGGTTCAATCCCCAGTACCAAAATAAATAATAAAATAAATTGAGTATTAATTTAAATAAAAAATGAGAGATCAAAATTCCAGCAGAGCTTCCACCAACCTCTTGAGTTTTCTTGCTACAGTTTAATATGCTTTGACCTCATTGTCTTCAGTGCTTTCTTTGTCTCCGAGTCAGATTTTAGCTTTGCGGTGTGTTGCCCTGATCTTGGCTCCACAGACTTTTGGCTCTGGCCATTGTGGTGGCGACTGCCCTTGTCAGCACCATCCCTGGCTTACACCCACCAGATCTCACTAGTGTATACTCCCCTCCCATTTGTGACAACCCAGAATGCCTAAGTACCCCATGAGGGGCAAAGTCATCCTTGGGAACCCCATTCGAGCAAGTCAGCCATAAAAAGGCAAAAGCTCATGTCTGTGTTGTGTATGTGTACGCAAGTACACTTTTGTGTGCATTTCATAGAGGACAAATCCCATAAACAAAGGGCGCCACCCCTGAGATACAGAAAATACAAATGTTAGTGGGCTGATGGCTTGGAATGTGTACAATACCATTTCCATAAGTATGAATATTTATCAGCTAGTCATTTGAGAGCATGATGTAAAGAAGCCATCTGTGGAGGCCTTTATGGGGAGAAAGAAGCTAAAAGAAATGTGCAAAGTGCTTATTTTTAGAGTCCAATTCTCTGCAAGTTGGCTTCGTCCTCTGAAAGCTGCCCACTCTGGGTGTCAAGTGTATTACTGGGTTAGGAGAGGCAGTGCCATGCTCTTGAATCCAGATCATTGTTGATTGGAAACTACCACTAAGTACATACAAAGGTAAGATGGCTAGGGCGACACTAACTTAGTCTGAAATACATGATTTTACTTCTTCAGTTGGTGGTTTGCTTGAATAAGTATGAGAGCACGGCAACAGGCAGATGAGAAGGTACAGTGGAAACTGCTTTTCTTCCTGCTCTGTTGCCCCGTTCCCTTTTCCATGCGGACATTCTGTTCAGTTTCTTCTTTTCTCTAGGAACTTTAGAGGGTACATTTTGCAGTCTCAGAAAATGGTCTAACATCTGTTGTTTAGTTCGGTTCCAGGTATGATTTTGTTTTTGCAAAGATTGATGTGAGAGCCCTTGGTTGCTGGAGAAATCCAAACTAGAATAATTAATAAAATTGTAGGGCTGGGGATGT